CGTTCACCAAACAGTCTAATATAATTATGTCTCCTCTGCTTTTATTCGGTTGGTGTTTCAGCAGAGCTGTCAGGGGCAATAACGTCTGTAAAAAATTTCCCCCATCATATTTCAAATTTGCTGAACAAAGGTTACATGGTGAAATGTAATTCTCAGAAATGCTGCATTTGTGTTTTCTTGTCGCAGACGTTTTCATTTCTTTCCTCTCACGTCTTGCTGACACGTTAGACACATTATTACAATTAGTAAACATTTCTCAGAGGGAGTTGCTGCCGTCTATCCGCTCCCACTTCATTCAGTATACAGAGCTGTCAGATTCTGACTTATGATGATGTTTTCCCCTTCAATACCTGTTACGTTGAGGTCTTTCACTTAAAAATAATCCATATTGGGAAAGAGAACCTGTTGTGCAGTAGGTACTTCGAAACCAAAACAGGCGTCTTCTAAAAGTACAGATATCATCCAAGATGTTTCTAATAGCAAAAAAATGCCATAATTTCTCTGCAAAACACAACTATTTTTTAGGAATAATTAGCATTCTTTATAAATAAATATAAATAATTTAGTACACCGTAATGCATTTATATTTTTCTGTTACAGAATACGTCATTTGTCGTTTCTGCTTAGTGGTTGCTACTTTTTGATATTTTATCACTCAGGTTTTTAAGCTTTCTGGTAATTTGTTCTTAAGTCCTTTTGGGTTCCTTTTTAAGTTCTCAGTATCTCATGAATGACACACACATTATTAAAAGATTATAAACGCATCCATCATAATGAATCCTGATATCACATAGAAAGCACAAGTCTAGGCTAGTTTAGGCTAAAACCCAGTGAACAGCTAGCTGTTACAGAACACACAAATAAGTGAAAATGACACACTGAAGTAGACAGAAAAAGTATTGCATAAACAAAGTAAAGCATAATCCACAAATCCTGGTTCTTTTAATACCTATCTTAAAATATTATGAGTAAGAACCAGCCTAGAGCATGTGGGACGAGACTCCCATTTACCACTGCTGCTAAATAATGCTGCAATACTGCTAACATCATGTTCCTGATAAATTGATGTTTAAGTCAACAATAGTAGCCTAATTCTGGTCCTGCTTAACACTTGAGATTACACCAGTGTTTTGATTTGATATTGGCCTTTAATTAAAAATCTTAACTTAATCATGTGCTTTATTGTAGCAGAAGTAAAGGTTCCCTCCAGACTGGAGCTTGTAAAGAATTTTATTAGTTGTTTTTTTCCCATATTGCTGCACAGAGAAATTAGGCCATTTTTGTGCCTGAATAATTAACTAAGTGAGCTTCAGGGTGGCTGACTGTGAAATATACAGCGAAACCTGCCTTAATGGTCATTAACTTCTGTTAAATCTTAATTTTCCATACACCATGTTGGTTGAAATGACGTCAGCATTTGCAGAACCACAAAATACAAAAAAAAACAAAAACCTAAGCTGTTAATAAGTCATTCAAACAGAACCTGTGAGCTGTAGGCCCATATGTCAGCGTTTTCCACATATTTTGAAAGGAACTAACGCGAACACGGGAAAGCAATTTCTCAGATGAAATGTCAGTTTGGCAGCAGGTAATAACGCTTCAGATGTGTGATTAAAAATCAAAATGCCACGTTTTTAATCATGTACATGATTGGTCAATACATTTCATGATATTCAGTTTTGCTGTGTTGCTTTCTTGAGGAAGTTTCTCACACTGGCAGCACTATCCCCAGCGTCTTCCTCCTCTTGTGACATTTTTGGCATTTTCAATGCTCACTTGGTATTGTGCCTTTTCCCTCCTTTAGTGTAAAAGTGCTCCACAATGCTAGTATGATGACAGCAGCAGCTGTCACTAATTGACCCTTCGCTAAGCCCCGCCCCCCTTAGTTACTGTTCAGTCCGACAAAGTGTCGGCGCTGTCATTGTCTAGTACTGTACTCTCTGGAGAAAACAAATTTGTTGGAAAAAGCGATCACAGAAAGAAGCAGCCAGTTTTGCAGTTGCATTATACATGTGAAGGTTGGATTCAGGCTGTCAAACTGCCTCAAACAGACATGGAAATAATTAAAGATAGAAACTAAAGCCTACCGATCACACAATACAAGTGAACCGTCGATTAAGACAACGATATGAACGACAACAACACTGTTACTGTATAGCTGGGTAGGCCTCTATTCATTATTACAATCATTAAAAAGCAGAACAGTAACGTTAGGGATTTATTACGTTACATTCAGTAGGAAGTTAGCTTGCGTCAGCTAACAAACATTAGGAACAATCCACAGCCGACATTTTCTGGATTTATTTTAGGTTTCGGAAAGAGGATAAATCGTACTTCTCCTTTTAACCTCTCTGGGTAGCGACTGTAACTACTACAAGTGAACAGCGTTTATCTTAGAAGAAGCCAATAAAAGTGTCAGACTATAGTGAGTCCTATACTGCGCTGTGATTGGTACCAAATGTATGTTTTGTGTGTATAGAGAGAGAGAGAGAGAGATATCTTTAGATATCGATATAGCTAGAGATAGATATAGATATAGCTATATATAGATATAGATATAGATATAAAAACCATTTCTGTTTCATTGACACTGTTTCATATTTACTGACACTGTACCTAGTAGATGTTTCCCTTTCGAACCAGAACTGCCAATTTACTCCCGTGTTTACACACGTTACAAATGTTAACAAAGCTTTAACAGCATAGAAACATGAATGACTTAAGTGATACATTTACAACACAAGAGGGTTGTTTTAGAATTTTCTAAGACTTGTACAGTCACTTTTGTTTGACAAATTTTGGATTTCTAATAATATAAATAGAAAATAAGAGTAATATTTCTCTTTTAGTATGTTTATACTTCATTTGGAGCTCCCTCTGTGCTGTTAAAACTTGATGAATCTTTTCTCATTTAAGTGATGGAGAGAAGAATTTGGGGACCTACAAATGTCACAGGCCAGGAAAGATTAAGATACCTCATTATAGATGTTAAAAACGTCAGCTGGACTTTAGTCAGCTTCCTGTTGGTGGTCAGATTTTTGCCCTTTTATCAGCCTGCAGCAGCAACCAAGGAGCCAACAGCTACAGTATGTAGGACAGCAGGAGGTCTGTCCCACATAGCTGTTGACCCAAAACATGGAGACTGGGACCAATTACAGCCTCCATATGCAAAGCACAGGTGGCACATAGGCAGCTGGAGCCTCACATTTTAAAAGGATGCCTGCCTGAGCCTTTTACTTTAATCAAAACAAGCAGTGTGAGTGAGACAATGATGCAGTGATTTTTTTAATTGGGTCAAGTTAGTTTCATGTACTGTGTATATTTTTGCCAATAACTATGACAACAGTAACATCTTTAAATATCTTTTGTTTCACATACCTGCACACTTTCCTACACTTTTCACAGCTGCAAGGTGTTTCACTGCAGCTGCCTCACAAATGCCCACTTGCACCATAGACTTAAGGTATGCAGTAGCTTAGAACAAACACAAATTGTTTACACTAGGGGTCTCGTTTATTCAAGTTTGTGCTCAAAGTTGTTTTGTGAAGTTCTGATGTCGGAATCAGCCTCTCAGTGATCTGACATATCAAAAGCAGAACTTTGGATAAAGTCCTTTTTATTATTACCCACGGTATGAATGGTATAGACATCATGTATGTGGTATACACTGTGTAGTATATACACTATAACATCTTTGCAAATCACTTGAGATGGAAAATGAAATTTTAACTGAATGCCAAGGGTGCTTCTAGAGGGAGGAAAAGGGAAAGTACTTCCTCTGAAATACAGACAGGTGATGTGGAAGATGATTTTGGATGAGGGTCAAGAGTCACATTTTGTCAGGAGACCAAACATTTCTAGACAGGTGAAAAAAGCAGGATCTCTCTGCACCAGAAATCTGGTCAGCATTCCCCTCCATTAACATTGTTGTCTTTGTTTGCAGGAAGTGACACATGTCACATCTGGGATTCTGCCGGTACAGATGAACAGGGAGCAGGTTGATCAGTCACCTCATGCCACCAGAGCACACAACGCGACGCCTGCTGACTGATAAATCACAGGACAAATCAAAATGGGGTGATGCAGCTCGTCTGGTGTCGCATCATGATAAGAGACAGAGCCTTTCTGAAAACCAGAGGTATCACTTAGAAACTCATATCGCCAGAAAACAACAAAACTGCATTTTGGCAATTTTCTTGTTTGAAAATTTTAATCACATGTTTTTCCCCTTCACTTACATCTAGTGGTAATCTATCTAGCCATGCAGAAAATTTTGATTTTGTGTGCGCAGGCATGGAAACTGCCTATTGGTATAAATTGTAGCACAACTTTGTACTGCTGTAACCAAAAGAGCTGTCGAGGTATTATCTCCTGGTTAGGTTTGCTGTAATAGATTTTTATGTCAAATATACAATTGACAGGATATAATATTTTTAAAGCTATTTTTAAAGAGAATTATCACCTGATTGTGCAGTTCCCCTCTGAGCTTTTCAGCATCTTTCAAATCATTGTTTTAGTTTTATTGCAGCACTCATTTTCAACACTCATTAGTGTCTTTTCCAGCTGCTAGTGCACAGCTGTTTTCTCTCTGATGAACCCACTGTACACTACCTGCATTGAACAACACATGGCTGACAAAGTTTAGCAACTAGCTGTAGAACATAGTGGAGGATTAAGCTAATAAAGACAGAATAAAACAGAGAGTCAAAAGTGGACCTTGGTTGGTTGGCCAAATGAATGCTAATGTTGCTCTGACACATTGGACATAACTTTATAAGGTTAATACTGACTTTAAAAAAAGGATATAATACACCTATTCATATTTATTTTTCAGACTATATTCAGAGTAAATTTGCAAAGAAACAGGAACAATAAGTGATAACACAAATGAAGTTTAGATGGGCAGTGGAAACTATCTTAAGTCCTTAACGGACGTCTCTGAGCTTTTGTATCAAAAGTAACATCATGAGAATGTAGATCCAAAGAAAAAGTTAAGAGCGTTAAGGAAAGAAAAGGTCTTTATTGTATTTGGGTGGCAGCAGCAATTTCAGTAAACAATACTTAAAACCTGGGCTAAGGAAACCAAAAACTATCTGCATGACTGGGTACCACTAGAGGTATGTGAGAGAATATTTGTGTAATTTGAGTGAAATCCCAGTCAATTATGTGTTGTATTATTATTATTATTTTTTACATCCTTACAACCCTGTTAAAATGCATTTGGGTTCTCATTTTAAAACTATACGGGCAACACTGAGAAAGAAAAAACTTTTTCCACACCTTCCTGTGACAAAATCCAACAACTCTTGTGCTGTTTTGACAGTATTATGAGCTTATAATGTGAGCTATTTTAGATCGATCTTGAACTAGAATGTGTCATTTTCATCAGGTCTGCTTGTAGCTCAGGGCAACACATTTTCTTTCTCTGTGTTAAAATCAGCATATATGGTGTCATTTAATAATTCAGTGAAACTATTGTTTTTAGATATCTGAATTCAGTGGCAGTATTGAAGATGACACATTCCTTGTGAAGAGCGTTAGCTCCTAACCAACTTCGGTCTCCGAGTCTCAACACTTTTCATAGACATGTCCGTTCTGCAAAGCAGAGCTGTGCTTTAATACAGTACATATTGTAAATCCTCTGCCGTCCCACGTCGAGCGAATAGTCATAGCAGGTAGCGGACCAACATGGATCACTACCTTCATCTCACAAGTCTCTCGAAAGACAGATGCATCCGTTCATGCGTCAAAACCCGTACCGTCTGTTTTCCACCAGTCCTCCCGCAACGACAAAACATGATCGGTCACAAATGTGTCTATAGATATCTGTTTTCTCTGCGGCAAAAGTCCACACACATTTAAAAAATATAAACTTGTTTCCATCTCTTGTTGCTTCACCAAAGCCACATGATTTTTTTTATACATTTCTGGAGAGGAACAAACCCACATGTTTGTCAGGCCCTCGCACTTAAAGCTTAATGAATGAATAAATGAAGACTCCCTTTCCAAAGTGACATCTACTCATATAAAAATGATTTATAGCTTTAAAAATTAAAACAGATTACAATACACTAAAGGCTAATAACTAATGTAGGTCCTTGTTTGATAAAGTAAAACACTTTTACAGACTTTCAAAGCTCTTCCTAATCTTGTTTGAATGTTAAATTTAAATTAACTTTTCTTTATATAGTCTTTATTTAGAAATGAACTCGTCATCCTGCCACTCAAAGCACAACAACAAACAGACTTTCATTGTGCTCTGACTCAATTATAGCGTGTGCTTCCATCTAACATCTGCATAACAAAATTAGGACAAAAAAATGTGGCAAATACAGAGCAAACCTGAATGGACAGAGTGCTGCATGTGGACAAACACACACACACACTTCCAACATAAATCTCGTAACACTTCATCACAGTTCATCTGAGAAAAAATTCTTAACACTTAATATTTTTCTTTTACATCAAGGAATGTTCAGGGACAACAAAAAAAACTTTTTTTTTGTTTTATATATATATATATTTTTTTTTATTAGAGTTTTCCTGCACTGACTGCATATTCAGTGTCTCCTCACTGTACACCTTCTGAACCCACTCACTGTAGCTTGGACGTTATTTTCAGATGAGCAAAGTCTGCATGTGTGTCATGTGTAACAGTTTGTGTTTGGGGCAGGCATGAAGCAAAAAATGAGGTGTGAACTTCCTGGTCCCCACCCCACACCCTCCCACCCCCCCCACCCCTGTGATGTGGTAGTGGCACCCTCTCCGGTGGTCTTCTCAAGGCCGTGGGCTGCACAACACATCTGCTCTGGGTCATGATTCACAAAAAGAGATTAAGTGTGATTTTTGTGACAGAGAGGGAGAGGGGAGCAGGGCAGGACAGAGTCAACCCTTTCCCCCACCGCCATCTGACACACAGAAATGGCGCTCTCTCTCTCTCTCTCTCTCTTTCACACCCAGCCACCCTACCCCCCCCCTGGTCTGCAGTTTTGTCCGTGGAGGCCAGGTGAGCGGGGCCTCTTATTGGTCAGAGAGCAGCAGCAAGAGCAGCCAACCGAGGCCAAGCAGCAGGGACAGGCTGAGGGGCTCGGCTCCGCGGTCCGACAGCCCCGGGGAGGGAAGAGTGGAGTCTCCCTCATCGCCCCACAATCTGTCGTTCTCGTTTACCTAAAAGAAAACGATGAAGTGTTGCGATTAGATTTGTTTTTGGTAGAATAATAAAATAAACTCAGCAGCCTCCAGATTCGAACCCGAAAAACATCTTTTCAGCAGAAGCAGCGGGGGGTAAAAAAAAGAAAACTGATCTGGGAGTAGAGTTTTTATGAGCAACTATATGAGTATAATGGCCAAATTTTCCATCCACAGTTGAAAAATAAGACAGGTGATGGGGAGGACATTGCCGCTTATCAGCCAGATGCAATTTCACAGCGAGAGATATTTTTGCTGTGAACATATTCAGAATAAACTCTTCAATCAGTGGAGCTCCATCTCTAGTTTATTCCCTTCTTCTCTCTACATCCTTTACATGGAAACTCTTAACCCTTCAGATTTATACCCTCAACTCTGCCTGTTTCTGTCTCGTAGATTTAGAGAGGTTTGTGGCACTGGACTATGGGGAAAAAAATCGTGTATACATATATCTCTATCTCAAAACCACCTCATCTAATGCCTTATGGCAGAAGGAAATTAAAATGTGTTAAAAGGTTTTTATTGAAATTTGTAATAATAAAAGAGCATTTGTAAGAAAATTGAAAAAGGTGAGAAAGAAGTTGTTAGCAACTAACATTTTTCTGATTTGTAAATGACAAAAGGTGGTTTGTCATTTGAGTGTGTCCCGTACCAGTCGAGCAACAGGCGTACCAGACCTTAACTACGTTACGTAAGTCACATGACGTTAAACACATGGTTAACATTGTGAAATGATCGCAGTTTGGTTAGGTATAGGAAAACATTTTGGTGTGGGTTAAAGTACGTAAGTCAGTAATGCTCTAAATAACTTGACCACCACTCACACAGAAATTTTCATTCTTTATAATATGTCACCCAATGTCCTCCTTTCTGGCCGTCAAACAGCCATTAGAGGTCACAGCTCCAATAAACAAGCTGTTAGCAACTCGTTACAACTGAGAGGAGTTTACTTTGAACGTTCGTAAACTAAAGGTAAGTTAGCATGTCTCTCCTATTCATGTACATGCTGTTGTGATAAAGTCGGATCCGATTGAAATGCACAGCAACATTTCCAGTGTTAATTTAATGTTTGTCCACTTATCAGACAGTTATTTAAATGTGATGGGATGCTGGTTGAAGAGTCATATGTCTGATGATATGAGTCCGAGGAAGCTGTTCAGAGCTAATATACGGATTTAATTAACTCTGATGTCCATGTTCAGCAAAGTGTCATTTCCCTGTTTACTTTATCTCTGTACTTACCTTTATTATTAAGTCTAATGCAGTCAGAGGATGATACAAACAGTTGAAACAATCCTGCGTGGGACGAGGAGCTCAGAGGACCAGAGGCAAGAATATGTAATTTGGGCTTTTGGCCCTTTTCTTTAGCTTTCCCTCTGGAAATAAGTAAGTGGCCCAGTTATACATTTAGCTTGTGAAGTTTATTTATATCTGTTGGCAGATTGTCAATTATGTTATCTACAACATTTTTTGCAGGGTTCCCATTATGAGCCAAATGCATGGAACAAATTTCCTTAGCCTGAAGTGAATTATATTATTCATGAATTTCTCCTCCTTATTAAAATCTGAAATACTGTGTGTATGTTTAAAACAGGCTGTCCACATTAAAATTTATGTTCAACAGACTTTAACTGTTGTTTACTTTACTACTTAATTGTATGGGCTACATTAATGATGTTTACAGAACCTTTTTATCTTGTTGATGAAGCAGTTATAAATATGAAACACTTGAAGAAGAGAAATGTTTTATATGTTTACACTTAGAGATGTGTAATAACAATAAAACTACTCAGAGACCACTGACAGACTTTCAGAATGACTCCACTTTATAATTATGTACACGTTTGCTTACTTTACTTTTTATGTTTTTACATGTGATGGCATGTCTTTTAAATGCAGTATATTGCTTATTTTATGTGTGTTTACATTTGCAATCAGGGTGCAAGTAACATTTATATGGAACTGTCATCAAAAGGTTTCTCATCTATAGTCATTCTGTTTTTTCCTCTCCAGTAAAGTAAGCTAATGTCTTTAAACTATCAATAGCATAAGCTTATATAACACACTTTTGTTTACATTCAGTTTTGCTGCTTGTTTTAATTGTCTTGACTCTTTAATTCTCATTATGTTGTTTGTTTTATGCTCTACTTTGCGTGTTGTTTCTTTTTATTGCCGCAGAGATCTAATGATCCCAATGGGATCAATAACGGTACATTCAATCATAAAGCTACCTTCATTCACTCACTTCAATTCTCTACATGATAAACACTCTAGTCTGTAGTGAGCAGTAGCACCTGGTGTATGTATTGATTTTATCAACCAATACTAACTTTTAAGTTTACGTCGGAACATTTACGAATAGAAATTGCAGTGTGTTATCCTTATGATAATTAATATAATATAATAATTCTGCTGCCACATTTTTTCAAAAAATCTGTCCAACTCTAATGAGAAGGAAACTGACACTGAGAAATTGTCATTATTTTTTCTCCTGACTGACAACAGTAGTATCGCATAATTATAATTAACATGGCTTTCATATTAGCAGCATGCCAAAGCATTGCATTTTGGGATTTCTTTAAATCCGAGCGTTGAAGGCTTCACCTTGATCTACTTTGGCTTGGATTGTTGCTTTGTATGAAAGCATCTGCTGTATAAATGTAAAGATTTAAACAACTTAAATTACATAATGCAAACATCGTACACCTAGAACCTGGACCCTCAAATAAGCTGGTTTAAGTCAATTTTTGCATATGGTAGCAAATGGACACCGCCTTCTGCTCTCGGTTTTTATGTGATCTACTTTACCTGACGCAGCCTGAATTATGCAGATAATGTAAATCCCACCCGTCTACAGCTCCTTGCAGAATAAAGCAAACACTCAGAGTTATCTGCAGTAGTGAGACCCAATTCTGAGCGAGGCCGTCTCCATTAGTGCCTCTCTGTTTGGAGAAGGTTGTACTTCACATTTTCAGTCTTCCGTCTTGTCTCACCTGAGTAGGTATCTGTGCTCTCAAAATGTTCTGCTCTGTTTCCATGGAGACGCCCGGGGCAGTGGTAGCCAAATGCGGGCTCTGGTTGTCCGTGGCTGGACTGGGCATCCCGGGCTGGCTAGCGCCCATTTTCACATCTGATCCATTCCCAAACGCGAGGATGGCATTTTCTAGAACACAAGAGCAGCAGAGACGTTGTGATCAAAATGACTTGACAAGCAATTTAATACATTGACAACATTCTCGTCATCTGAGGATTTTCACATCACCTCTAGTTTACTTTTGCTCCCTCAACCCCCTGCATGGCTCTTTGTATTGTGATTGGTCACTTTATAAAAGTGTACTGGGGGACTGTAATTACGATGGGGCCAGAGCATCTGATGACAACTCAGCCTTTCAGGGCGAGTCATCAGTGACCGCTTTCTCGTTGGTCGGACACATGGATTTCAAACTGCATTTGGCAAAATGTTTGAATAAAAATACAGGCGTTGTCAGCCAATATCAGTGAGTGATACTGAAACAGACAAGAGGCCACCATGATTTGATTTATTTACCAAAACTGAAAATTGAACTATGTACACTATTCACGGGAAGTGATCCATCGGCCGTTAGAGATATAAATACTAACTGTCCCTGAAACAGCAGCAAATGCTCCATCCACAGATTTCTGAATAATGCAAGTTCATATTTATGTCTTCTTGGTGCCTTTCTGGGCCACCAGTGTAAGAAACTGCCTAAAATGTGTAACATATGTTATTCATATGCCTGGGGAATAACTTAGAATACGTTATTCTTAAGGCAAAAAATACTGTAGTCTGCAGTCTGGAAAACTACCGTCTGACATTACACAACAGAGAAGGGATGTTGTGTATATAAGAGTGTCTCAGTCAGTGGCAGATTAATTAAAGCTTCGTTTTTGATTGCAGAAATCTCCGAGGCAAGAGCTGTTGTAAGTCAGGTATAATACAAGTTCAATTAACCGCAATAAAATGACATTTGAATGGGAAAAGGTGAACTCTGGTCATAAAATAAAATAATGAACAATAATGAACAGCAGCGAGGTACTTATTTGAATCTATTCCTGGTCAGCAGGCTTGCTGACTGGCTTACCTAAATAAATGTTGGGTAGCATGAAGAGATAGGTGAAAATCTACCAGACACTGAGTCAATTTGACTCAGTTCTGACCTTCCTGCTGGTTATCAACACAAAGGCTGCATCCAAATTCAGCGTCCCACTCACTATTCACTTACGAACATAGGAAAGTCTATGTAAATGTAATGCGTTGTTGTCAAAAGAATATAGCTGTAGTTTTTTTAGGCTATAAATTAGACTCTCACGCACACCATTATGGTGTGGTGTGAATGAATTATAGTGTAGTTTAAGAAATTACAAAGCATTTTGTCAAATGTAATCAGACCCCACTAGGAGCCTAATTTGATCAACACGAGTATGTGTGTGAGAGCTGACATTATTGAGAGAACATTGAGGAAATGCAATTATTTTTCTTGTTATCTGGGCTGTGCTGTATGTATATGTATGTCTTTATACATTACAGTAAGAACCCACAGTCCTTCAATCAATCCCATTAACCAACTGAGTAGCCTTAGCTAACAGGGCAGTGAGAATTTGATCAAAACACCTCATGATGCATATAGTCCTGGAACTGAAGGTACCTCATACTTTGTTTAAATTAATGCCTTGTGCAATTTATAATCTAGATGCAAATTATACAAGCAATGTTTGAGTTTATGCATGATGATTGATTTTAAAATAAGGTCAAAATTATATGAATTATGCTGTAGGATTTTCATATTTTCCGGTGCTTTCATTCACTCAGTGAAAACCAAGGACATACACTCAGACCCTCTCAACCTGGCAGAATTCTCTCTTTAGTAAAATATGAGTACCACATAGTGTCACAGACAGTGGAGACCCACCACACAAACCTCCAATATCTGTGAAAAGTCCTCTACTGTAGTAACAGAAGTGAAAAGGGGAAATGAATGATATTATGAAATGCTAATGCTTCATCATTAGAAATGAGTGAGTTCACCAGAGGGATTTCAAAAAAAATAAATAACTGACTGCGCTATTATTTATTAAAGACAGACCTATAATGTGACTTACACAATATATTTATGAAAGGGTGGGGAAAGTGTAAAGAAATAAATAGTTGAAATAATTAAAAACACAAACACTGACAGTTACAGCAGTACAACAGCTAAGTCGTAATATCCAATCACCAAACGATGGTGAAGTTGAGTAGATTTCCATTTGCCACCCAGCAACAGCAGTGACCAATTATGTTCCAAACAAGCCGCACAATGAAAATTATATCATCTCCTGCTGCTGCTACGTGCAATATGTTGTAAAATCACAACCTATCTTTCTGCTGTCAGTTCAAAACACTTTCTATAGCAGATTTAATTTAAATTCTAACTGTACCATCATGTTTTAGTTTAAAACTTAAGAGCTTGTTTGATGGAGATGATGTATTAGATGGTAACACTTAAAGGCAATGCAAATGCTAGAGTACACTATCTACCCTCACTCATGTTTATACTGTTTATGACGAAAAATGTCATCGATTAAAGGAACGACAAAGTGTCATTGCTGCTATCAAGCTTTAGTCAAGTACTGTACTTCAGTACTTGAGTATTTCCATTTTGTGTTACTTTATTTTTACTCCACTACACTTGTGTGACAGCTGTAGGATGCTGAACACTTTCCCTTCTCTCCCCCTTCTTCTCCCCTCTGCCCCAAAAGTCTTAACTGCTCCACTGCACCAACAACAATGTAAAAAATCTGCTTACATTTTAATTAATCAGTAATACTAATTTAAAAATAATTTAACAATGAAAAGGGCAACTCTTCAGGCTAATTTATATATTTTATATTTTATATTAACATCACATTTTAAACACTTTATAAAATAACTTATTAATATTTAAATGTGCCACTTGTGTACAACAGAACCAAGCTGTTAACACAACGATGACATACTATCATCAAGTCAATATGGCAAACTTGTTAGCACACAGTCACCTACTTACACATCTAGCAGATATGGAGCGACATTAGCGTTCACTTGGAGTCATGCATCCAGTCAGCTGATGAATGTCAGTCCTGCATTTACTGTTGGTTTAATTCTTTAGCTGCTGGATGCTCAGCTATGTTCAGCAGCCACTTGCTAACATTGCCGGTCGTTTAGTGCTGAGCAGGTGATATACAATGGGTTTTCAGTCGTTTGTTGAAAACAGCTGCTTGCTGCACCCAAACAACAAACCCATGAGAGCGCTGACTATAAAATTGCGGTTTGGACAGCTAAATAATAAGCTGAAACAAGCAATTAAGTTCTGTAGAACTGAGGGAAACAAAAAAAATCTTGTGATCATTCTCGTGAGTTCATCACAACAAGTGAATCCATCTACATCTATTAGTCATTTGGTCCATTAATATAAATATACATATCGATTACAGACACTTTAAGGATGTTGTTTTGTTTTTCAGCCCGTCTTATTAGCTGTGCTGATAAGCTTTCTAGCAGCAGGAGGTAGCCATTTTCGACATCAAGCTTGGATAAACCTTCTATACGTTAACTCCCCAGCACCAAATGGCAGACAGACAAAGTTAGTGACTAGCTATTGCCCATAGTGGAACATCTAGAAGCTAAAGAGCTGTATGTACCTGTTCTAGGATGCTAGGCCTGTGTATTTACATAAACTATGAAATATTATTCATTGTTGTTAAGTTGTTGAAACAGTTGCATGTTTACAATGATGACTGGGGGAATGTGAATCTTTAGAGATCTTTTTTTTTCCACAGGTGCGAAAGGAACAGATGTTCAAGTTTGGTTTAATTCAATTAAATACACAGATGCTCCCTATGTGTTTTGGGTTTGAATCTTCACCTGACCGAAATAGATATGGCATATGCACTTGTTGTCAGCGCTGAAAACAAGTGTATAAAAGAGATGATTCAGGGAGTGTGAACTATAAGCCTCAATTCTTTGGATGGCCAAATCCTTTTTGTCACCCTTCTTTTTTTTACTTTTGTAAAAAAATACTTTTGTGTTGACACGGAAAAGTGGGATGTTGCAGAAAAAGTCGTACAATTGTAACTAATAAAATAAAAGTGACAGTGGACTCCCCAAAAGTGGATTCAAAACGTCAGTCAGCCCTTTCAGTTTCTCATCTTTGAGTTGTCTGTAATGGTGTGATATAATGATCATGGTGAATATTTAAAGGCCCGTTTACAGTAAGTAGACTGTGACTGGGGGAATATTATAGTATGTACATTCTGTACTATGTATAATTTACAGTCTGGTGGATTTATATAGTTTTTCTACACCCCAAAGGCCACCCATTACATCCAGTTCTTGGATTTACCACAACCAGAATGACTTATGATCATATAATGAATTAATATTCTATAAGCATTCATTTTCATTCAGCTAATGTGCTACTCGGCAGCAATTACATTTGCATGAAAGTCACTTCAATTAAAATATGCTCAAATGAAGACATGAATGAGAGATTCATCAATTAATATCTCCAGCTTATATTGTAAGATGGATGAGGGTGCTTAGAAATGAAACTCACACCATTATTCCATCTGTTCCTGGCTAAAACCCTCAGATTTCAGAAGCGACTTACTGGTCATGGGATTTGAAAGCCTGCAGTGGAGTATTGAGGTGTGACACACACACTTTGATTTCTCACAGGATCATAACAAATTGATCCATCCTCCTGAGGCAGTTTGCTTTTGCAAACAAAATTCTGCAGCAATCAATGTAGAGCCTCCACTCGACTCCCTCCATTGGTGCAACACTGAGCATCAACTACTAGACAGAGATAGAGGTGGTGGATGGGTAACTTCCGTGCACTCGTAGCCAGCTCTGCAGCTAATGAGGGAATCTGCAAGTTGCAACACAACAACAACAACAAGTCAATTGTGAGGGAAACATATTGAGCCCAGCTGATGGTGTGTATACATCAGCACCTTGCAGACAACGCTGTGGACCAGCTAATGGTGCTGTGGGCCATTAGCGTTGGTAGGACAGGTGGGAAAGTGTGCCGGCGCGCTCAAAGTGTGCAGTTAGCGCTTGGCTGTGTGCAGCAATCCCCTGGCAGGCTGACGGATGAGAGAAGCAAGGGGTGCAACTCCAGCTGCTCGCCACTGTGCCTCACCACCCGCCGTCATGCAGAGATGAAGTGCCAATTGATATCTTCAGTGGTAAGCTGTTGTGACAGTTCCTTTGTAAATGTTTGGACACGGCTGTTTAAGCACCGCCATCTCGCATCTCTTTGACTTTTAAGTTTCTCCCTGAGGGTTCTCTTTTTTATTTTTACTGACTTTATAGGTTCCCCAAAGCCACACTGCAGAGCACATCCCGTGCACACCCCCTTCCTGTCGTCAACCTTCCTGACATATTGCTGGTTGCCCTCACTTTTCCCTGTTACACTACCAATTTAACTTCCACAAAAATTAAAATAATTGCAGAAATAAATGAGCTTCACCTCCATCTGTCCTCTCAGTTTTTCCGTGACACACTCAGCTTTCAGAGAACGAAAAAGTCCGGAGTTGCTGTTTTGCATAGTGATGTGGTTATTATCGCTGTGATGAGGAGGTAAGGGAGGGTGACAGCTGTTTTTAAAACCTGAGCGCGCTCACTCCAGAAAAGGGATTTTTTCAGCAGTTTTTCCCCTCCCTTATCTGCAAACGACTGTATTCTTCCCTGCCACTATTCTCTCTGTCCACCTCATTAGTTTGGAGGCAGGAAACCAAATTACGTTAAATTACAAAGTCATCAAAGGCCATCTGAAGTCCTGTCTCAGCAAGCAGGCCCCTGCACAACAGCACAGGGGGGCCCTGCGTGCAAAATAACGCTGAATTCAGTCACAAAAAGACATAAGCACCAAAGGATTTAGAGGATTTAGTTAATTGACCATCGTGCTGTCCAGTTGTGAAACAGAACCATTACCAAAGGAGAGGAGAGTCTTTTGGCTCTATTCAAAATGAATAGCACATTGTTCTCTGTACACTGCGATTACATGAGTAACATGGAAGAGAAAGAAAAACATTCAAGAGCGCTCCTAGAGTGGATTCATTTTCCCAATTATTGGCTCGAATCCAAACAATCCTTGCCAAATCATTATCCACACTTTCTCCCCAAAATAGAACCGTGTCCTGCCTGGCAAACGAGACTCAACTCCAAATGAGATGAGAGCACGATGTGCACCACTGGTCCATGAATCGCCTTTCCCATTAGAAACTTGTTCATCCTTATTATCACGTACTGTATGTGCTGTCTGGCCTCAGCCATTTGCTCAGGCAGAAGGAGAGGAGCGTTTTTCTGCTCATACGGAGGGAAATGAGGCCAGTCAGTCTGAGGTTTGTTTTTCTGGGACTCTAAGGAGCTTACAGTAAACAGCACACAGGAGCTGCCTTGGGAAGTCTGAGTCCTGGCTGCAGGATGCACATGAGGAGTTTCAGTGAAAAACAAGACATCCATCAACCAGTTGAAAAACACATGTGATTACGCTGGGAGGTTCAACTCCCTAAAGGACAATGTACATTTTATATGCTATCCAGGATTGGTTAATTAGAGAACTGAAGCAATAACAAATCATTATCTCATTGAGCGATGCACGTCAGGTGGTAACTATTCTTTGAAAATGGATCAGCTGGTAGGTTTTTAGTTAATTTTAGAAAATAACATCCTGCTCTGTCAATCAAAGATGCAAAGGTTTCTGGTAAACCAAGAACTTTTTGTGAGGGATTGCTGCTCTGTTGTTTGGGAATCTGCATTTTCAAGTTAAAATTACTGACTAATTCATTAAAGCAATTACAAGTGGTGATTCCTTTTTGAAGCACAATTAATACAAGTGTTTTACTGTACAGAGAGTTTTGTCACTGTAGAAGAATATAATGTTTCTAATGAGTAATATTGAAATTTTCTTCTTTTTTTCTTCTTTTTCATCCTTTAGATTGTCTCTTTTATTGATGGTAGTCCTCCAGATGGTGTTTTTTATGCTTCTGTCTCCATCTTTGATGTGAGGACTTGCTGTTTCTTACTGGATTATTACGCTTATTTCTGGATTAACCACCAAGCTGGTTAACTGTATCTTTTTCTGCTTTCATATACACACATATTTTGTATACAAAGTGTGTACCATAACAACATAAAATGCAAAAGCTGTTCTAAACTGGTTTTTGGAACGGATATCCTGTCCTCTGCTCTGAAACCTAGAATGTCTACCGGATGTGGCTGTATCATGTTTCCGTTGTGCCCTGGTAGCATCTTTAAGCAGTCTGTTTCAAAGCAGCCATTTTGTTCAGAGTTGTTTGTTGTTTTACAACCACATTAAATACATTTTGCTTCTCATTTGTGATCAATATGGTAACACTTTGTAATTAACGTTTTTGATTACTTTACGCAGACTTCTACTTTTTACTAAACTATTCAGTGTTCAGTCTCCTTCTTCACAGCTCCAGCTTGTTAAATATTAAACTTGTGTTAACTTATAATAAATATTAGCATTTATATACAAATGTACTTTAGACTACTGCCTGCAAATTACATTTTAATTATTTAGCAGTTTAATATGGGATGTCAATAAAATACTTAATGAATGCCTATACTAGGAAAATTACGTAAGTACAAGGGAAGAAGCGAAGATTTTAGGGAATAAGTTGTGTTTAATGGAGACTTAAATAAATTATTTTATATAAACTATTTAATATATAATGCCTATTTAATAATTACAGGGCATAGTCATTTTATTACTTTGTAACAAAGGAAAGCTTGGTAAAATTGGGTAACAGTGCTGATATTGCAATGAAGTGGTAATAGTATCACTTATTATAAAATTTAATTATTAAAATCATTATGATACTAAAATTGTACTTTGGGGAATTACATTGTTACATTACAAATTTCAAAATTTTCCTCAGTCATCATTATTTAATATGGTATTATTGTTGCTTGTCCTGGGTATACGGACAAATCTTTATAGCTATAAAATTATTATGTGTATGATTTTAAAATGATGATAGAATACCGAAGGACAATAATGTCGTTGTGGGGTCCTTAATAGGATCCATCTGACTATCAAAGCTGATGTTGGACAGGGACCTAGACCAGTTTTTATGTCCTCTCATATCATAAACAATTAAGTTTCTGAATGTATATACTTCTATTCAGAAACCGTATTGTGGTTTATTGGACATCATATAGCATAAAGAATAGTATGGGTTTAATGAGTAATTTAATTTGTAGCTTGTAATCTCAAGCGTTACTGTTAATTTCACACTTGAGATGTGAGCAGCAGCGGGGGAGATGGTCTAGTCACGTGTGGAATTGGGCTTTTGTGATGTCTGATGAGAAGATACTTTGTTGGTATTGTCATAATTGAACTAAAACATTGGCTTCTATGAACTTAACAATCACTGACATTCTGTTTTGTCACCACATGACAGCAGCTGCAGTTTGCTTTGTACTGTCACTGGTGTCATTGGTCTGTCACTGGTGTTCTTAATCATGCCGACAGCTTTGTAAGAACTTGTCTTCTTTTGTTGTTAGAAGAAAATTATAACCCAGGATAAACTCCAGTGTCTGCTGTGACAACAGCAGCCACAGTTTGTATTACTCCGTCATTGGTGTCATTCTAATGTCACTGGTGCTATCACTCATTCAGAGGGATGATCTCCTGTCATCATAGCTGTTTTTTTGTTGGATGAATCAAAGCTACAACAAAAGGTAAAAGAAAACAAGAGGATTGGTGGATAATCCTTATGTAACATCACATATTTGCAGTTTATCGCTCACTGATGTCTTTGTGCTGCCACGAAAAAAAAGACACATTTATATTATCGTAAATTGTAAATTGCAGTGATAAATTTCCCAGTATTATATAAACAAACAAATATTATATGTTGTAACCCATTACTGTGGACCACCAGCTGTACTGTTATATTAATGTCACTGGTCTGTCACTGCTGTCATCAGTCAGGGGGTTGTTTGTCTGCAAGTCATTTTGGTGCAAAGAAACACATGGAGAGGGAGTGACTGAGTGCTTTACTGTATCACTGATGTGTCACAAGTGCCATCACTCTCCAAGGAGACTGAAAAAAGACATCTCAGTTAGACTGGGTGGGAAGGACTTTGTTGTCAATTTCCCTGTGTTTCATCCTGATACACAGGACAGTAGGTAGGATTTATGTTGCATTAATCATTACAATAAAAAATTGCTTTCTAGCCAAGAGTTAGATGAGAAGATACCACTCTCATGTCTGTGTGTTAAACTACAGAGCTGGAGCCGGTAGGTAAACTAAACTAAACTAAACTGGCTGTTTGTAAAGTTAACAAGGTAACTGTACATACAGTACATTGTATGCTTAGTCAGTAAAACTTTGGACAGATATAGGCTACCTGTTTCCTCCCTTTTCTAGTGTTTATACTAAACTAATCTAAGATAGCTAAACTAATCTAATCTAAAGCACAGACATGAGTGGTATCAATATTCTCATCTAACTCAAGTTTTATTTTTATTATTAGTATTTTAGTTTTGCCTAAAACAGTCAAATATAAGTAATCACAATCAGATAATAATAGAAATATTTATAAATCTAAACTCCTCTTCAGGGCATTCCCAGAAACTGTGGGGAAACTATGTTTGGGTCCTCAATGGTAGCTAGCCCTGCTAATGAAGTTGTCTGTCTGTAAGTTGTGTTTTTTTGTTCATCTGCGCACAAAATTAACAACAAAATAGACCTTCAGATGGAAATCTGAGAGCAGCAAAAGTAAAAATGTTCATTAACTGGGTTTAGGCTGACTCCCGTTTGTGTTACAGTACATCAAAAGACATTTGCAGTATGAAAGTAACTTTGTTCATTCTCACACTCGGCCTGGTTCTTTGTCTAGGTTGTTATTGTCACTATGTAGCTAGAGGTCTGTCTCTGTAGCTCTGTCACTCACTCAGGCAGACGTTGTCGTGGAAAAAAGTGAGGAAGTCATTGCATTGTTCCCTGTGGTTGCCGCTCGCTGCACAGGAGCACCAGGGTCCCACGTTGGATGTGGAGTTGTCAAGGTAGTTGGGAGTTATTGTGCTTCCTGTAGAGGGGAGGAGAGGGGGAAACAACACATTTCTGTATGTTTACAGGCATACAGAAATAATACAACTTCTCACATTAGGTTTACAACACAATGATTGAATATGAACATCAGATAACATGAATACAGAAGTATTTATTTTATTTAGCTGAACATCTAACTTTTCTTGGTGTCTTTTGTCATTCAAGCTATTCCAACTGCTGCCGAGTGCCATTTTGAGTTATGTTTTTTTGTTAAGGCCTCATAAAAATGGCAGTTTTAGAGGAAAGGCAAATAACTATCTGACTGAGGAGTTTAATGTTCTAACAAATTGAACATAGGAGCAGAATTCAGGCTGATTTAATGTTGTTATGCTTACCCTGATTATGACCTTACCCTGATTACGATAATCAAATAAAGGAGTTGACATGGCAATTTCCATCATCACAGCATTGCCCTAATCAGGTTAAGACTGACTTATTAAGTGTGCATGTAAATGTATTCACTGACAGAGAAAGTGAGAGGAATTTAGAAAGAATAGATGAAAGTGGAGGGAGTAGAATAGAGACACAGACTGGCAGGTTAGTTAAGCAGGCAGCCTGGTGATCAAATGTTGGCTGTTTCAATCTCGCTTGCTGACTGAGCCTGACATTACTGAGCCAACAAAGTTGTACTATGTGTATATGTGAATCAAACCAGCTAACATTTGCTAAAAATACACTGATCTATGTGAGAGGCAGTTATTTGAGGATGCACTTGTTTTAAATATATATAAAAGAGACACTTGCTTATACAACATCCTCCTCTTGATCTCTGTGAGTCTGATGCTACAATAGGTAAAATCAAAGTACAGTGCAGTTTTTCAGCTTTTTCTTTTAATTTTCTGACTTATTAACATGCATATCCACCTTGGCAGGCAGCTTGTTGGACTTTGATAAGTAAAGTGGGCTGCAGTGCAAAGACCAGGCAGATTCTTTTTGTTCTTTTCAGCTTTTGGGGCTTTTCAGCAGGAAATGATTGGGTAGACATTCTCCGGGGTAAGGGTAATATAGCCTTGTAGCTTGTATTTTTAAAAGGAGGTGGGAAATAGAATTGCTGCACTTTGAGGCAGTGTGGTGAAAAAGTTCTGATTTACCTCCATCGATTTTCTGGGTCCCAGACTTCCAAACAACAACACCTCAGCGTCTCACTTCTACTTCAGTTGTCTAGAATGGACAATCACTGCTGCAAAGCTTTCTGTCTCTGTCTTCCTACATCTGTCTCCTTCAGTTCCTCCCAAACTAAACAACTTTAACTCCCTCTCTTAGCAGCAGTTCAGTAAGGCATTGTTGTCCCACAATGACATGTTTAGACTGAGTGGTTTTTAACAACCTTTTGTGCATTATGTGATCTTTTGTTAGGGTTTTATCTAAACTACAATAAGCTGTGTTCTACGCCTCTGCCCGCTCCCACTCATCGTCACATCAGGGATAATTCTCTCAAAACAGCGGTCAATAGTTGTAATTGCACTACTTATAATGTCAACGACTTGGCCGGGCATGCTGCAGCCACATTAATCAGCACTCCATCGATCGTTGAACCCGCGCTTCTCATCACAATCTTTGATTCATTCTTTTGAGTCCTGTTCAGTGCTCTTGTCTGCTCTCCGCCTTCCTCCCTCTAAAACCTTTTTGTTACTGATCCATCACAGAAAGTGGGTGAGCCGGAGCTGGCACGAAAAGATTTAGTTCTTACCTATCAGCCCGGTGTACGCAAGTAGACATGCTGCGTAAGTCTCCTGCTTGCAGCCACTGGCGCTCTGCTCGGAAGGTTGGCAATCATACTGGAACTGTGCCCAGCGAGACCTGTGGGAGCAATAACATGCCATCCATCATTTACTCGTGCTTGGCTGCAGCACACATTGTATCACTGAGGGGTGGCACTAGTGTTTTCTCTCAATGACAGAATGTGGATCTGAAAACCACAATGCTCATCTACCTACCTATACTCCTATATTATCTCCCTCCACCCTTCAAGATTTTCTGCTCTGCAGCACTTTTACCCCCACTCCAGTCACCTGTGGTGACAACACGCCTTCCCCTTTTTTTCTTTCCCATCCCTAGCAGGTTGTATTGCTGGAAGGCTGCCAAGCTGTAAAGAGTCAATGAGGGGCAAAGATAGGCCTTGGCTCTGCCCTCTAAATACTGCAGGCACTCTCTGGCAGGCCAGGCCGTGAGGAGATTAGACAAATATGGATCTTCCATACAAATACTCACTCCCACAGCCGCTCTGCCTTCCCCCCTTCACCTTTCCCGCCAGCCGCCCAGACATCTAGCCTCATCATCATCATCGCACAAGGCTATCGCAGCCATCATATCGCATCATCGGCCCCTGTCGACTGGCATTTGCAACGGGATCCCCTCAGGGCACCACAACTCCCTGCTCTCCCCTCGTTTGTCATGTCATTATAATGATGTGCGTAAACCTCATAGGCTACGCGCTAAGCGAAGGCACCCTCTGTAGACTGCCAGTTAATGCTAGATGACTAGTGCGAAATTGGCGAGCCGCACAGGGGCCTTGAGATACTCGATCCATAGGGGCGGCGGTGGAGAATAATGCTTGATCGATAGCCGTGACAGATGAAGCCCTTTGTCTTCCTGACATTTGAAGAGGAACCAGATTAAATGCTGGTGACCATTGGCTGTCACAGAGAGGAGGCTGACAGGATGGGTATGAGAACTCCATGTTTTCAGTCTCCAGTGAAATAGAGAGGCATACACCCTCTGAATGTTAATGACTCCATAAGACATTGTTAGTTTACAATCAATATAAATTTCAATGAAATCATTTTCCTCAGTCTCTCACACACATATGGATTTAAAGTAGAATAAATATGCTTATTCAGATAACCAGTACAGAGGGTCAGTTTTCTGCAAACTACTTACCTATACTGATAATGTCTCGGCTGTACACATTGATAAATATTTGCTGATCACTTAGGCAGGAAAGTCATGTGTGAATCCCAAATGATAAAAGCCGCTTTAATAATGACTATTTCACATGGCTGCTTCCATCAGAAAATGAATGCAGAATTTAATTGAACTAATTAAACACAGTTAATGAGTATAACAATTGAATTAATTAAACACAGCTGACTAATTAAATCTAAATGAACATATCATACCAACCAGACCTAACTTCCAAGATACACAATGCCATTTATTGTCCTGAGGGAAAGTCAGTGTGTGAGGCTGCCACGTCAACAAAGCACTTCATATTGAAAACAACAGTGGTGGAGATGGAGATTTTCATGGGTAATCAATTTTCTATCAACAACATACTTTGTGTTTTTTAATCCAAGTTAACATTAAAAATAAATGTCAGCAAGCAAGCTAGTTTGCTTAGCTGCTTACGGGACAATAAGCTCACACAGTTTATTCAGGAGACGTATTCATACCATTGACTCCTGTCTCTCCTGTCCACAAACAATGGCTATTTTGTTGAGGAGTATATATTATGACAAAGGAGGTTAAATAAAAGTAAACTGTGCATGACAGCTAAGTTACAACAACTTCGTCTGCTTTGGACTCTCCTTTTACTCTGAGGTCTGAGCCCCAGGTGAGCATACACCTAAGCTACATTATGTTAATCGGTATTTTTAGTTATGTTCATCAAATTAAATCAGATGGTCACTAATACAGATAATTACTGCTAGAATCAACAGCTCAACAAAGATTTTTTAGCCTCTTTTATGTCATTGTTTTAGTTCAACCACATTTCCAGCCACAGGCAGCTGCTTTTTGTATTAAAAGCTCTAATTAAGAGACTGGGTTCAAACTGACAATGTTAGGGACCAGCTGGTTGCTAACTTTGTGGAGTTGACTGCAAAGATGCGGAATGTGTAGGTAGGCAACAATATGCTAACACATTTCCCATAACTACTTTTCTTTGTCCGTCAGCTAGTGGCCAAAAATCTATTAATGCATCTTTAATACAGGAAACAGCAGCATTATCCTGTTTTATGTTCTTATTTCCTCACTGTGTGGTGTAAGCTCAATTGTGCACCATTTAGCATTATTTTTGATAATTCAAGAATGTCCTGTTATTTAAAGGGTCTGTGTGTATTGTGTTGCTTTTTCAGTTTGTATGGCTGAGTTGCTCCAGCTCTTACAGACCCTCCTCAAACTTGCACAAGTCATTTGTAGAATACTTCTCCAGTGTGAAACAACAGAGAGCAAAAGTAAACAAGTGGCTGGTGAAGCTGGTCAAACATCTAACAAGAAAAAGAGACCCAGATAGTTTTCTCAAGAGCTGGAAGATCAAACAAGATGTTGGATGTGTCAGTAACCTCAGGCAGGTGTTTGCTAACAAGTTAAACACAAGAACTCAACGAGCTGATATCAAAGTTTGTTTCTCCATTCATGTGGGAGTCTACCTTCCGCCTGTAATGTCAATGTTTTTTTGAGTCAGCTTTAAATCTGGACACCAGAGCTCCAGAGCAGCACTTGAACACACCAGGACATTTCAAATCAATCAGTATTTGTTGTAAGGGGTAACCTATTTCCTTACTTTACCTATCTGAGTGCACAGTCACCATGAATTCTATTTTATACTATACTTGGACAAAACAAGAACACAAAACAATGTCTAACCAATTTCTAATAACTATGTTTTCAAAAAGGTTCGGCATTAATGTAATGTGTAAATGAGCTAAAACATGTAACAATACCTTTGTGATCCTTCAACAGAAGCCACAGTTGCTGCAAATGATAATTTCAATTGAACGATCTCAGGAAATTAAGTGGAAAATGTTCTTGCAGCAGGCAGGATTTCATTTCAAACAAACAAAATTTCTAATAACCTACCTGCACACGTAGTCTGCTTTGCAGTTCCGCAGCTGAGCCAGGCAGTTGGGCTTCTCCTTGTCCTCATATGAGCACGACGGCACAATTGTTTGCCGGCGGCGCTCTGCGCAGGCCGTGTCGGTGCAGGGACAGAATAGCAGCTCATGGGTGTAGTCAGGGGGAACACGGTCAAAGAACTTCCTTAGCGCCTTGTTGCACTTTGGTCGATTACATGGCCCAGAGCGAGCTGATGGCTGGATACAGGAGGAAACGTATTCCGTACGAAGCTTCTGACACGTTTCATCTATGTTACATGCTTTGGCAGCATCCAGGCAGCGGTTCACCGTCGTTACTTCAGACTCTATGAGGAGAATAAGACACAAATGGAAGTCAGAAAGCATTTCATCCTTGTGTGTGGTTTTAGAAAATAAAATCCCAGGCAATGTTTACCAATGATTTCAAGGCCTAATTGGAGTCTGTATTGACTTGCCACTCTCACCTCTAGACACAGATGCAGAGTTGCATTTACATTAAAGAAATAAAGAAAGAAATGTGTATTGTGAAGTACAAACTAAACCAAAATGATGATTATATGTAAAGGCCCCCTTGTAATGAATAGAACATGAATGGTGTTTAAATGTTGCACGAGCCCGGGCAGTGGATGCGTTTCAGCCGAGGCCTAATGGCTGAATATTTCATTCTGCTGGGTTAATGCAGAGTGGCAGTGCTGAAAAAGCAGCGCCTCTATCTTTTCAACTGCACAACAAAGCCTGTAATTACTGTTCCTTCCCCTTCATCCATCTATCCATCTTTCCAGCACTCTCTCCCTACATCTGAGTCCATCACTCACTCACCTGACTCCCTGTTTCTTTCGCCACCCTCACTGGGTGCCTGCCACTCTCAGCGCTGCCATCACCCCCCACTCTATCCGTCTCTTCCCATACTCCATTCAGCTTGCTCTCCCTTCTCTTCCATCCATTCTTCCTCATTGTCCATCTCCTCATCCTCCGTCAGTGCCCATCCTCCCTCTGACTTCCGAGGTAATGAGGAACCTCTGTGAAGGCAGGGGAAAGCCCCTTTCATAACCATCTGTTTTTGGCCGCATTATTTCCCAATCCATCATCATGTGTGTTTTTTCCCCCAAGTGACCTCCCAGTCAATAACGGCCATGACGACGCTAAACCCCTCTGGCAGATAGTGATGCTCATTAGTTTGTAAACTGCCTGTAGTTGTGTCTCCTGGTGAGTTCGGCTCTCACCAAGCTGTCATATAAAATATGAATGGCCTTGGAGAGCAAGCTAACAACCAATACAAAGCATAGGTTATTCCCACCTTAACTGCTAAGCAGCCGAAGCATGAGGATAGGAGGACCAGAACTGCAGGGTTGGATGAGAAATAGCATCCGGTGGCCAAATGCGTGGGAAAGATAATATGCACATACGTTTTTATGTTTCTCTTTATCCATTATTTATTCAGAGGAGACTTGCTGAGCATGCATGCATGCTTTTATCCAGGAACACCCTGCTTCACATTCATGCTTTACACACATTTACACCTCAGAGATGCCCAGTACAACCACAGTCCTGAGCTGTTCCTCACAGTAGCCACCGGAGGCTGAATGCACTCATGCTCTAACTTGTTTTCCAGTTACAGGCCCGGTTCTGTATATTCATAATTGCATTTTTAAATTTTGAATGTATAGTGAAGTCTGTGACTATTTGGACGCATTCTGTTGTTTTGGTTCCATAACACCATTGCAGTGGATTTGGTTGAAGAACTGACAATATAGATCTGGTAACTGCTACAAACTCTTATTATTTTGTGTATCACATACTCACAACAGGTTTGAAAAAAGAAACCACTCCTCCCCACCATACATATACATGCATACACATATTGTGTCTTCCTGGAGTGTAGGTGCAGTGGGAAGTCTACCAGCATGCACCTGGAAAACATTTTATGGACATCAATCTCTGATCTCTGCAATGTTAGTGGTGTGTTTAACATTTTGTCCTAAAGTGTTCCCACTGTTCCTAAAGTTCATCTGTGGTTATTTCAGTCAGTATTAATATTGTTAGACTGTGAGTGTTGCGGTGTGTGGTATTAGCAACCCATCCTCAGATGTGAGTGCAAAGATGGTCTGTTGCTGTGCTGGATGCTCTGCCCTGAAGCTAATAAAGCTCCTTGTTGAACTAGAAACACTGACTTGCTGAGTTCTTCTGAGAGAAAACTCTAGTTCACTGCAATATGTATGTTCCAAAACACTCAAAAAGTAAATAGACTACCTCAATGTTCGTTTATATATATTTGTATATAGCAATTTATTGGCAAAGTGACAATACACACAATGATTTCACTGGTCATCAGCAAAGAAGTGACTACACAAATTTTAATACTACTAAAAATTTACAATGGCAATCTATTATAACTGCCCTAGCGGTAGGAGTAGCCTAGAGCAGTCATCCTCCATACTGAGTTTGAGCTGCTCCCTACCTCTGGCAAACAGAAGGATCAATAAGCGATATTTTATGCCTATTGTAATACATTTAATGAACAAACTGCACTAATTTGCACCATTCTGTATAGAAAGAAAATTGTACACTGTGTGTAGGGGGTATTAACTGTAGTGATGTTGAGGTGTTTTTATATTTTTTTTACATTTCTATATAAGTTTATATAATGATGTTTTTACAGGTCTGGTGACAGCAAAGACAATTTTCCAGCCCAGGCCGGACGGTAAAGTTGTATTCGATTCTACGCTATTCTAATGTTTATCAAGGACAAATCCTTCAGAGACACTTTTCAAGCCTATACAGGGTGAGTATTTGATACTCAAAAGATAGACTTGCAGTGGGATATTCCTTTAAGAGAGTCTGAGGGTGGTCACACTCATAATGGATGAACAATGTATTGTAGAAACTGTAGCCTGTTTGATACAGTCTCTTGAAATTTTGCACTCTGTGGTAGGACAATGACAGAGCAAAACTGCTGCTGCAAGACTGTTCCCCTAATCTGGATGTAAACACCCTCAAATAAAAGCTCCACACTTTACCATAATAGTTATCGCATCATTTCAGATGTGAAGTGCTTGTTTAATTAATGCTTGTGACCAACCTGTTGCATTTGAGACCAAAGAAAACAAAACTGCTGGTATTTGCCTTCCAACCAAGGTGCCTGGAGTATAGAAAATTTATTTTAAAAGCTAAAAACCTTTTTTTTTTTTTTGTGCAGAACATCTAATGTCTTTAAAGAGAGGTACTTTCTTAATACCACTGACTTCACATTAGTTAGTTGATTAATTGGTAAAGGGTGAAGTACTCTGTTTGAATACTTTTCAAAATATGATGAATATGATAAGCTGTGGCTCTGGTTTGTGTCTTTGAAAAGGGTCATTACTCTGTTTGAGGGAGAGATGCTATAAGGGTGGAAAAACATCCATTAATCACATTTTTGTTGTTTTGGCAGTCGACTTGTCGAGATGCATGGCATGGATGTCAACTTTGACCTCCCTTGGAGTCGCAGGAGTGAAATTTACGAGAAGGCTGTGCAGTGCAGGTCTGGTGCTGCTGTAATTCAAAGCAGCCTAAAATGAGTAGTGTCATTTTAATAAGCAGATTATGTATGAGGTCACAAAAAGTTATGATCAAGCATGTTAAAGGTGATATCCACTAAATCTGAATAGTTTAGTTGAGTACTTGTGTTTTTTGTATGCATTTCTTCTCATTTACACATACTGTACTGTGAGGAGAGTTTATCCCATTTCCCTAATCTGTGATCTTGGACCTAATTTATGTCGCTTTTGCCATTGTTTCTGTCCGTTATAATAGTATTGTACTTACTATGTTGTTGTAACAAAGCAACGTCTGTTGGAGTCTAAAGGTGCAAGAAACGTGAGCAGTAGGATGTTTAAACAGGCTATAAACATGATAACAGTACAGCAAGATTATCTAAACCTCTTTATTTGTAAATAAAACTTAAAGAAAGCACTCCTGACATGTTGATTGTAATCCCACATTGCACAACAAATCTCATAGGTCAAAATTGAACTAGGAGGTCAGTCTGTAAACTGTGATGGATGTTTGGATATTTACAACAGTATGGTTTATAATTTTACTGTTTGCTTTAATTCTCTCTTTCAAATAAATTTTGTTATTTATTTATATATATATATATATATATATAATGACAACATATATCACAGACAGATATAAATCATACAATTATAAATGCAACACTTTTGTTTTTGTGTCCTTTTATAATACTGATACAGTGAATGTGTCATTTATTAAACAAATATATTTAACTTATTTTTCTTCTGCTTTATGTATATAAACACCGTATTTAAATGTTTAAAGCAAGCAGCGACCTCCCTTTGAGCTGTCATTGTCCACTTGTTTAAATTTTTTTTGTGTGTGTGTAAGTAGGACATTTATCATTATACTGTATGGCATGCATGAATGCTTTCCATACTAATCACTTAATTTAAGTCATTATTTAAGTTTCACAGACTCTCTATCTCAGCTTCTCTCATCCAGAGTATAATTGCTGTCTGAGAAAACAAAACAAAACACTTGACTTTATGTCCTCTCCAGTGGAAAAAAAAAAGTATCTCCTCATTTGTGTGTAGCCTCTCTCTTTTTCCAAACCACCAACAGGAACAAATGTGGTGTTGCTTGAGTAAAAAGAAAGCTGTTTGTCTTCCATTTTCTTTTTCTCACTTCCACCATCTCTTTCCCTCTCTCACCCCTTGCCATGACTTATTTCCGTTTGTTTGTTTCTGTTCTTCACACTCTCTGTCTCCCCTCCGGTTTTGGTGCTTATAGCTGCATTAAAGTAAATAGGTAATTAATCTGTGCCTCAGGGGCTAACAGCAGCACATACTAGCCCTGCGGCTTGCCCACAGGCTAAGAGGCAAGACAGAAGCAAGGTGTGGGTTGTTACTAATCAAACACTTTGTAAACTCACCTGCATATCCACCCGTCTGTTCCGTCAAAATAACACAAAATGACATCTTCATTTACTCTTTCTTTAATACGAAACTTGGTTGGGACCCACTTAGTTGTTTCTTTGTGTGGAAAAACCTGATGCTTTTGATGATCTAAACTTTTTTTCAGTGCTCATTTAGAGTAACTGAAAGCAGAAATTGAAGAAACACTTGTAGCAGTGGCAGCTTGCCCAGTCACCTGCAGCAATGGAGGCCAGACGAACGTAGTCAGAGCCTCTCTCCTCTGGTTCATACGGGTAGCTCTCCACCAGGCTGAGTCCTGCCAGCACAGAGGAGAGAGATTAGGGCCTGTTGTGATGACAATCAAAAAACATGTTATTTTCTTCTTTTTTAACTGCAGAATTTGTCCTAAAACAGTACCACACAGACTCACTATACTGTATATCATAAGTAAGTTGAGTTGTAGACAAAGTCTTGCATATGTACCCTGTCAAGTAGCAGACCAGAGATGGACACAGTACTAACCAGTGCTCTACCAAAATGTGTGTCTACTAGTACACATGGTCTCTATAGTATAACAGATAACAAAATAAATAGATAAAAGGCTGGAATAATATCACATGCCTCCATGTTTTTTAGTATGACATTTTGTTTGTGGAAATTTGAATAAACACAATATTATTTAGAAATGTACACCATATGAACACAATATACAGTAAAATAATAAAAGACCTTCAACTAGATTTTCAAACATGGCCCCTCTACAAACACAGGGACACAAAATTACTTATTGATGCAGTACCTGTTTTTCTTTATGTCAGTGACTTTGGGGGATTTTGGTGCAGGTGCTCACTTATCCACTATCTTAAAGGAAGTTAAACTCTGAATTAAATTAACTACAATTACAAACATAGCAACAAAATTAGGTCATATGAGGCTGAAAATGTTGTAAAATAAGTCTGGCAATCAGCAATTTAATGTGAAGCTTCTCAAATCAGCATCAGGTTACTGAAAAACTGTAAAGTGAATCGTCTTAAGAATCCTTTCAAAGTATACCAAACATAAAAAAATGCATTTGTAACTCATAACCCTTGTTTCAAGAGCATTTAAAAGGCCATATTACAATGTGAAGCAGGTCATAACTACATGGAAACTAATTTTGTTGCCATCTAGATGATAATATTCGGTGGTTGACAAATTATTTTAAACAGCCTAAAAGTTAACATTACCCAGTGTAAAAGAGTGTTTGCTTCAGTTGTTTCACACATTTTTAATGATATGTTTATGTTATGTAGTCTATCCTGTGTATGTATTGTACCTCACTCTAGCCAGGAAACAATGATGGCTGATGTATGAAACTCAGGCAGCTGAGCTTTACTGTTTGTTTTTATGAGTCATTATCTCAATGTCATGTTATTTGCACTTCACTTGCAGTATATTCACACTGTTGCCAACTGACTTCAACTGTTGCACTCATTGTCAGTTTTAGTATATAAGTATATGCCTACATTTGAATATAAATGTACCACAAATAATGGGGTTTAATGTAGGAAATAACAAAAGTGATAAAATAAAATGAGGGTGGGTAGAACGAAAGGAACCAGAGCCTCAGTTTGAACTATTTTTGACAAAATAATCACTCTTTGCATTTCCAGCCTGGAACTTACGGTTTACATCTAATTTGTGTGTAATGGGCAACACACACTTGATAATCTCAATAACATACTGTACCTGCTCCCGCCCACCTCCAGGGACCAGAACCATCAGATTCTGTGTGTTACTGCCAGTCTTACCGTGCAGCACAGACTGATGCAGACTCCAGTAGATACTCAGGCAGTTTTTCTCCTTCTTCATGCCTCGTTTACATTGGCAGCCGTGCAGAGGAGTGGACAGCAGCGCCGTCATGGCATTCTCACACTGGTTTCGTGCCCCAGGCCCCAGCTTCACGCTGCCGTCCCCAGCTACACATTGCCTGAGGGTGCGCAGTCGCGGGCTGCAGGTGTCGTCGCTGGAGCAGGTGTCTCCGGCACGTAGGCAGTCCCTCTCGCCCACAGAGAGAGCCATATGTGAGACTCCTGCAAGACAAGACATACAGAGGTGTCAGGGAAGCTTTCAGAAGCGGTTTTGGATGCATAAATAATAACACTAGTTGAGTACTAATCCAATGCACTTAGCCCCAAATAAAACAAACAAAATCTTTCAGGCAACAAGTTAAAGAACAGGCAAAACTCAATGACACAAAAGAAAACTAATGAAAACATACGACAAACATATTTCATCATGATTACCCATATTAGATATGCAGAAACAGCTGGGCTATCTTCCTAAGCATGTGCTAATTGTAATTTCTGCTTTATAGTTCTAAATTATAGTAGTAGTAGAGAAGCCAAGTGGTCACAAAATCATTCAAAAGACCTCTAATTTCTCTGAAGAAAGTGTGGAAGCAACAGATCATTGGTTAAAATTATTATTAAAAAACATTCATAAAAACCTTCAGAGGAATTGGGGGAAGGTAGCCCCACTGACACAGGCTAGTAATTGTTGAATAAATGGGAGTAAAATGGGTATATGGACATTATATAAGACTCAGAGCTGCCAAGTAATCCACCAGCAGGCGGATGTGTGAATATGAATTAATTTGTTTTAACTGTTATTGTGTACAATTATTGCTAATGTTGCAAATCTCTCGCCAGTAAAGATTCAAGTGGGATTTTTTTCCTTCCCAATAGACAGTGATGCAGTGGATTGTAGGAGGTCAGTGATTAAAATGTATTAACATTAAGATGTTTCTTTTCATTCAGATGCACAGATTAATTACCTCATTGATCAACAACTTTACAAATTACTATACATCTGTTCATTTTCAGCATTTGTCCCTCCTATACCAGTACCACATACTGAGCTCTTGGTTTAGCCCCATGTTGGTCCTACTAAAGGAGCACAATGGTTTTATGTCTGTGTTTGATTATCATCGACCAAATCAGTTTTTGTAATTTTTATAAAGCAGTTCAAATTCAACATAAAGGTGTACAACAGCAACTTAGAATTGCACTTCAATACAGTTTCATAAAGTAGTGGAACTTGTCAGTGACAAATTAAAAAAAGAATGAATGTGAGATTTTATGATCCACTGAATCATTGCCAAAATAATCTAAATTTAATTGAATTTAATAATTGGATTACATTTCTACAACCTTTGTCAGTAGCAATCAAACTTGGTCAACGAAGCATCTCACTACTGTATTTCAGCATTTAAAAAATTATATTCATTAAACCCCAGGGGGATGCTATGTTATTCATGAATTCATACAGTTGTCACATAGAATACATTTGACACCAATGACTGGATTTTGATGAAACTTGGGGGGTGATGCGTCTCCAATACATCCCAATATGTTCAAAATTACACAGAAATGTTTTAGCTCCAGTCAAAACATAGCGTCATATTTTTACACATTGGCCCAGAGAGGGACTGTGTCATTTGTGGGGGAACAGCCTGTTTACTGTTGTCTTGTTTCATGTGGCACTAATAACATGCAAGCTGTATTCCCCTAAGGATAGTAAATGCTGTTTATTCCCAGCTGTCTAAAACCTCTTAGACTCACTCTTAAAAACGATGTAGTGTTTTTTTAATCAATCTATGTGTCTAGTTTGGGTTAAACACACATTCACATACTATTATAAGAGTAAACAACAGGCACAACATCACTAAGTGATTTTGCTACGTTTCAAACTAAAAATTAACAAGACGAAGAGTATACAACCATGCTAGCGGCTCTGTGAGGCACTACTGAGGCAGAGCACTGGTGTGAGCTAAATGCTAACATCAGCATGTTAACATACTCACAATGCTAGCTAGCTGCAGATGTTTAGTAGGTATAATGTTGAGCATGTTCACCAACTTTTTTTAGCCTGTTAGCATGCTAACATTTGCCAATTAGCACAAGACACAAAGTAGCTGAAGCTAATTTCAATTTCATTAGTTTTAAATATTTGGTCATAAACCAAAGTATTGGACAAATGACAAATTCAGCCTGATGATGGCACTAGATAAAAGTCAGGGTATCACCAAAGTGATTACAATTTGTTGTCAATGTCTTTTCATGGTAACCCATCCAATGTTTGTTGAGGCCTTTGACTTAAAACCACAAACTGTTGGTGGCACAAAAAAGATCAGGGGATAATACAAGTCATTAGGATTCATTGTCTAGGCACCATTAATACCAAATTTCATGGCAGTCTATCCAAAAGCTTTAGAAATATTTCATTATGGACCAAAAGCAGTAGATCAATAAACTGACTGACTGACTGACAGACAGACATAGCCATGCCTAGGGCCATGCCTGTGGCGGCAGTGACTCAGGTTTTTGAGTGGGTTGTCTAGTAACCAGTGGGTCGTTGGTTTAATTTCTGGCTCCCCCAGTCCAGTCGAAGTGTCCTTGGGCAAGATACTGAACCCCAAATTGCTCCCAATGGCTGTGCCGTTGGTGTCTCTCTGGGCATTGGACAGCTTACTACTCCTGATGAGCAGTTGGCACCTTGCATGCATCGGTATATACATGTCAGTGTTGTAAAGTGCTTTGAATGGTGGGTAGAAAGCTCTGTATAAATACAAGTCAATTTACCAAGTTGCTAGCTTGGCTAATGGTGGGTCAGCCAATACAAACTCATACTGTGCAGCAAACCTTTATTTGAAGCCACAAAATATGTCAGACTGAACTTTGATAAAATGTGAATAAAATGATGCACAAGACATTTCCATTTAAGGGGTGGTGCAACGATAAAAATATGGAGTCTTGGGTATGAATATTTTACCCAGTGCAAATATCATATAGCTTTGATAAAGAGATGGAACAAGTTCACCAGAATATATAGGAAATACTGTCAGACAGGGTGTGATAAGATGATACTGAACTTTAAAGCAACTTATGGGAATAAGGGAGAAAACTACATTTTAAGGGGTAAATTGAACATCTATTATAAAAGTGTAGCTGTATTAAGGGCACCACTGCTCACTGCTCTCTTAGTATTTTATAAAGCATTTAAAACTATCTAATATGATAGTGATTAGTTTTAAGTGAGAAGAATTGGTTATCCACTACTTGACAGAAATCATGTCCAAAAGCATTTCTGTGCCACTGACTACTCAGTGAGACTTTCTGTGCAGCAAGCCGGTTCAGAAAATTACATCTTAATCAAATTTGATTCCATCACAGCTCATTCAAGTGATAAGGAGCGAAAGCAGTATCCCAATAAAGGCCAAAGCTCGCTAAATCTCTGCCGGCAGACTGACAGAACTGTCAGAATATGATGCCTTCGTTAAACTTAAACTTTGACTCAGAGTAATTCTCCCTGGGTTATGGGACTAGAGATGATCAGATAAAACAGAAAAGGGAACAAAATATCTGAATAAAGTCTACATCCTTGGCTGAAGCTTGGTGTAGTTGTAGAGAAAAGGTTTAACTACCGTTTGCCCCGCAGCAGACTTCTTAAACTTTCCCAGGAGTCAGCTAATCTAGCAGAAAGCTGTAAATAAAAGTCTAGACAGACAGTGAGGCAAGAAGCTTGTTGCCATGGGTTTAGGATGTTTGTGGATGCTATTGAGAGAAAGCATCTGCCACTCAAACGAAAAGCTCATCTTCACTGAGGTCTTGACAGGTGGCACTTAGTGTGACCACAGAAAAAAATCCACCTCAACAAGTCATTTATTCCACTACAGAGCCTTAAAATCAGATTTATTTGTTGTAAAGCAAAGGGAGCGGGAAAAAAAACTGCAGGGTGAGATAATGTCATTCGTTTTCGATGCTAATCAGCTCCACTCTCAAGTTTTCTTGGATCAAGTGATGGTACCTTGACAAAAGCGGAGGAATCAGCCTTATGTCAAGATACTTAACTCGCTCTGAGAAAACTCTTAAAATGCAGATTTGCATTGGAAATACATTTATTTCACTCCTGTGGTAGTGCTTTTCGCTCAGTTAGAGAGAAACAATGTTTAAACATATTTAGATTGATTTGCACTTCTCTTATGCAAGTATGTGGAACTTCATGTGGGATCAGATAGGTGGGTGGTGTGTGTGGGTGTTTGGATATGGAAAGTGGAGCGCAGGAGAACCTTAAAAGCTAGGTTTGGCTTCCCTCGGCTTCATGGCAGAAGAAGCCCCTGGTGATCAGCAACAGTGCAAATTATATTATATTGCAACTAATCCAGAGTAGAGCGGTTTGATATTTGTCTGAGAAATTAAGCAGCACTCCAGATTGCAAGAGATAGCTGTTTGCCTGGAAAAAGAGCTGCAGCACACCCGCAGTTCAAAGAGAGAGAGAGTCAAAACCAATTAGGAGAAATCAGTTGCCTTGTCATTCAAATTCGTTCCATCCTATATGCCTCCCTGTTATCCCACTGAGGTAAATAATCTGTTTGAGCGTCCTCTCTTCGCTTTTTGTCTCTTTTCCTTTTTGTTCCCATTTCTCTCTGATTTTCTCTCTGCTCACGTCATCCTTCCCACTTATCTCTCTGTTCTCCCCCTCCTTTTTCGCTTATTTTTTTTCTCTCATCTGTCACTTGCACACAAACACACCTGGTATGGTTCAAATAGCAGATTCTGAAATTAAAGGAAGATTTCCAAGAAAAGAGGACATATACATTACTTAGTAGACAACAATGAGTGAGATTAACAAGTATACCTTATGACAAACACAAAATAACTACCTTTCTTATCATCCTCTCTCTGTCACGACTCGGTTCTCTACTCAAAGGAAACAGGTGTAGGGATGGTGAGAGAAGCTCCCCTCATCTCATCGGGTGGCTCGTCACGTCTCTCTGCCTCCCACCTAAACCCAAGGCTCTATTACAGCCACCGGGCATCAGTCACTGCCATCAGCCACTAGCTATCAGCCAACGAGAGAAAGCTTCCTTTAAGAGACAGAAAGCCCTGCACTCTTGTTACGTCACATAAAGGAAGCTCAGTAAGATTTAATTCTCAATAAGTGATGTTCGTCACTGTAAAGGGTTCATAAAATGAATGATGAAGATGAAACTAGGAAGAGAACAGAGATAGTGATGACAACGATCCAATTA